TAAAACTATTGAAAAATGTTATGCCATAGTTTTAAAAAATGTGACTACTAAATACTCCTCTTTTGATGATTTGAGAGCTATTCTTGATACAATTACTCTATTACTTGTGGATAAAAGGAAACCTCAAGGCTTATTATTTAAAGATGTTGTTGAATGGAGCAAGCAGCTATATTTTATGGATCAACCAAAAGACATTATCCATAGCTACATGGAACCATTTCTCTATTTTGTGTTGTACAATTTCCCAACAGAGGAAAGAATAAATCATGTCGGCCCTCATATTGAGTTAAAAAATGCAATTGATAATTGGTTGGAAATGTTTAAAAAGAACCATCCAAACCATGGCAAAGAAAATTTTTCATGTAGAAGAATAGTCACTACCTTGTTTTTCCTTGGCAACGGCCAACCCTTGGAAGATATTGTATTTCAGGATACTTTAGAAGATTTGAAAACTCTTTCATTTAAAGAAAAATGGAACCATCCTAATATTAGACAAAAACTTCGACTTATGGAAGGAGTTCTATCCAATGATGGAGAAAAAGTGAATATATCAATAACTACAAAAGAAGGAAATAGATTTATACTACCTGTCTCTACATCCCACAAAGTGGCCAAGTCTATCATGTGGAATAAAAAAGTCTACTTCTATCTTGGCTTTAGTTTCAAGGGACCGAGGGCTTATGGGATGTCTTTGGAAAAATTAGGAGAAATAGATAAGCCTGAGCCAGTTAACAATTTTAGCAAACGAATCTCCAAGCAGAATAGAAATAAAAGAGAACTTTAGCTTGATGATCTCTGGTGCAAGCAAGCAGATATTCAGCAAAAACTGCTTTCATATAAGGTAAGATATTGAAGCTCAAGCAAAGGAAATTGAAAGACTGGTTCTCAAAAATTAATTTAATAGTTACTTTTTCTGTGTCTAACACCTAAGCAGAGAGAGGTGCCTCAATTCTTATTTAAAATAATAAAAATAGAAAATCACTTGAAAAATATAACAATATGTCTAGTTTGGAAAAAATAAACCTTTCAATATCTTAGAACAAAAAAACAACTTTGTTTTTAATTAGTTTCCCAGGTTGGCCTTTTACTCTGTAGTATGGATACTTTCTCATCCTAAATAATATAGGAAGAGCTCTTCTTATCCAACAGTTGTAAAAAAAAAATTTATGGTACTGTTACGTATCTAGGTAACAATGCCTAGATACTATTGTTTTTTTTTCTTGACCTGTAGGTTGTCTGCCCCTTTGTGTAATAAGTTGTTTTTTATTTTATTCTTCAAGAGTCAAGCCACACAGACAGTGACCGGTCCTTGACCTATGTGTGTACCTCTGGTTGAAAGGAGGGTGTTTTTTTTTTCTTTTCTTCTGTCTCTTTGAAGAGCGTTCTAGATCTGGGTGTTGATGACTTTCTGTTCTAGAAATTACTAGATATCGACGCGCGGTAGATTATATAAAGACCGCTCGCGTAACGTTGACGGACAGACATACGGAGACAGCCGTGAGACAGAATAGCGGAGACATTGCGTGACCCGTGCGTGGTATACCAATTGATCGTGTAAGTTAAGATTTTTCTTTTTCAAGGCCTTGCTTGTATTTGTAGTTATATTTTCAAACTATTGTATTGTAATATTTTTACATGCCATTTTTGTAAAAGGGTTTTGGTCAACCCTTCCATTTTGTATTGAGTTATATTATGATTAAACATAAAGTTGATATTTTACCTTCCGATTTCTTGTGTCATTTTTTTTTTTTTGTTATTTATTGTAAGTCTTTGATTAAATTCAGACTTAAGATAAGTGACACAACAGCTTTTTCTATTGTCACGTTCCCCTAGACAAGCCATTTAAAAGTAGAATTCAATTTGTAATACGTGACAGTACCAGTAACTTTAATATTGCATTGAATCACATATGAAGTCTATCCGAAACACAGCATTCTATCACAGTAGGATTTATTAGACTAATAAGTATCAATACACTTGACTCTTATCTTATCTTATCTTATATAATACAGACGTTACTTCAAAAAAGAAGATGATTACGTCTTACGCGTCATGCATTTAGTCATGCATATTAACCAATGACTTAAATTCTGCCAAGTCACTGGTTTTCATTTTGACTCTACATGTGTAACTTACAATCTTCTCAAGCTAAATGAAAAATTAAATTACTAACCCATCAAGATAACATTCACATTACTTATTACTTTTTTGTTGCCAGTAACAGGATATTATTGAGATCAATATGTAAATGTAACTTTATTTCAAGGAGAAAATGCAAAACAGCATTTTATTTCACTATACCAAAAAAAAAGTTCAAATCACTCGCACTTTTTAGAAATTTTCAATACCCATAATGAAATGTTTATGAAAGAAAGGACAGATAATCATGGAGGAGTTCTGTTAGCCATAAAAAAAAACAAAAAAAAACACAAAGAGCAGAAGAAATTACTTTACTGAATTAAAAAACCCTAACCCCAACATTTTGCAAAATTAACACCACTTGAACATCCCTAATGATGGGCAATATTTACAGACCACTAAATTCTAGTTTAGAGCATATGCAAGAGCTATAAAACCAATTATCAGTTTATATAGGAAAACATAAATATGAATTATTTTTTTTTTAAATCGTAGGTTCCACAAAGGTTGCACATCTAAAAACAATAACAAAATATCAGAAATAAACATTAAAGATATAAATGAAATATTAATAGAAATACTACAGAATTTGTCTAAATTAAGTTTCAATACAATTATTAAAAAACAATCTAGATTAAACAACACACTAGATCTCTTCTTAAAAAATCATCTGGATTAGTGACAAATTATAATTTAATCTCCAGGCTATCCAACCATGACATTATTAAAATAAATAGTCTAATAAAAAGAGTAATCAATATAAAACAGAAAAGAATAACTGCAATCTAACCCAATTATACCAAGCTACAGAAAACCTTGTACATAGGAGATATAGATATACAAGAAAAAGGGATCCAAAAACTATTAGCTAACATTAAACCGAATAAAATATGATACATGACCATATTCCAACTAAATTGTTCAAAGAACTAAGCAATAAGCTTAGCACCAGTGTTCAAAATATTTTTCAGGCATCTGTTATTCAGGGCAGGGTACAGAGGGACTGGAAGGAAGCTAATGTCACTCTCCTATTTAAAAAAAGGAGATAAGTCTGACCCAGGAAACTACAGACCAATATCACTCTCCAGTATCACATGTAAAATACTAGAACACATAATATGTAACAAAAACATAAACCACTTGGATAAATTTGATATCCTTGCTCCATACCAACATAGCTTTAGGAAATATAGGTCATGAAAAACTCAACTTAATGATTTTTTATAGTTAGATAATAATCAGCATATAGATACAATTTTATTATACTTTTCTAAGGACTTTGGCAACGTTTACCACCATAGCTTGCTTAAACAATTAAAATATTTTGGGATTGCTGGTCCATTACACCAATTGATTTCTTGATATGTAATAATAAATGGCTCCAAATCAACACCAAAAACAGTACTCAGATGTACCTCAAGGAACAGTCTTAGGCCCACTTCTGTTTCTAAATAAATGACCTACTAAATCACATTAGTTCTGATATTCTTGCTGAAATATTGAAACCTGCCTGAGCGAACCACTTCTAGTTCGATTGTGAGTTTGTGTTTCCACTTTGTAACCTTTTTCAAACATTGAATACACTCTCATCATATTTTTTCTTTTGCCATTTTTGTAACAAACTGATCCTAGAGTTTTTATGCGTTGGTCCTAAAATTTGTTTGAGGTAATCCACAATTAATTTGTTTTGTTTGGTGACATTGTGTAAACTTTATAATTTAATTAATTTCCCATAAAGAAAATAATGAGTCCTCTTTATTAGTAATTTGGAAATTTGGCTTTTGACTCTAAAATTGTGTAAATGAGTGACTGCTTGATACCTATGATTAGTTTATATTATTGTTATTTTTATGTGAATGAGGTGGTAACATAGAAAAGACAATAAGACATTTGATTGACATAATCTTACATTTAAGACTATTTGTAAATGTTTTAAAGCATGTATCTAATATATTTTTTTTTCTTCCATAGAAAAATCCTGAAGTCAATGCACAAAAAATTAAAGAGTGTGAGAAGGACCTCAATAAAGTGAAAGAAGACTTAACAAGGCTGTTAGGAGATATTTAAATCAATTTATATTGAAGACTTTGATGTAGTCTCATATGGCAGCCTAATGTGTTTTTCAAACTTGGTGCTTTAGCTATAGTTTCTTTTGAATGTTACAACATAAGATACATATTTACCCCATATTGTTGGTGTTAAATTACAAACTGCTTTAGGTAGTAATGACTTTTCAATAAGCATGAAAAACTTAATGAGCATAACATTTAGTTTCGACTTGATTAGAGAAAAAGAAGTGGTAGAAATAACGTATGCACAAATTTTACCAGACAGACTGGAGTGAAATTATATAAGCTTTTGTAAAAACACCTTGCAGCAAAAAGTTTATCAATATTTTTTAGAACTTTCAAGTTTTTAAATAGATTTGATAATGCCGATATAGGAAATCCAGACATTCTATAAAATGTAGAGAGATTCAATATAATACCTGGCATTATCAGTCAAAATGGGAAATAAATATCTTCTTAATATCATACTTATCTGAGGCATTGTACAGAGTATTTAGTCATTCTATAAATTAAATATTTTGGATAAATCTTTAGAAATAATAACAAAAAAGAAATAAAAAATGAGCAGCATAATTAAGAGTATAATACCACAAGTCTTGTACATGTCTGTACAATACAATAAGTTGATTTATTTGTTTAGTCAAAGTTTGTATTATGATTTGGTCATAGATGAAAGTAAGACTATTTGGAATATGTTTGAATTTTAGAGGAAAATTTATGTGGAACAAATGAAAATTGAATATAAATATTGTCTTTTTCCTTGTTTCCTTTACTCTTATGCGCAGTTCCTTAAAATGCATGTCATATACTTTTGTAGTCTATTCTGACTATAGAAGCAAAATGTACTTACAAATATTAATCCTATAATCCTCTATTTCCTCACCTCCAATTTATTGTTATGTTTGGCCTATCAATATTTTCTAACTTTCCCTAACTAAAGTCATGTACCCATTAGAGCTCGTTGTCAGGGTTGTTCTATTGAAGGCAAGACCCTCTTCGTTTAGAAATCAACTCAACCACCACACACCATCTGATAATCACAAACTTAATGATATGATTTTGGTGGTTTCCTGACATCTCATCATTGCAACATTACATCACAATAACATTTCATCATTGCATAAAGTGCATTTTGCAAACATAAGTACATGTAGGTGTAATTAAGTAAGTAACATACTGAGCAAGTTAACCCTAACCCTAAATGATGAATTGCTATAATGATGAAATGTCCCGTATGATGAGGTGTCTGGTCACCAATTTCGATATACCATTCTTAACTAGTACTTATTCTTTACAGGACTCATAAGTCCAATTAAACTACCCAAAAAACAAGCTTCAAAATAAGAAAATACATTAAGTTTCACTAGAAAGGTTATTTTTTTTATTGTTTCATCTTTATAGATTTTTTTTCAACATTCTGTCCCATCCTCAATGGCCAAATTACTGTGAATGAAATCAGATAATTTGGAATCTGTAACATAAAACAGGATAAAACTAATGCTTTGTTCAACTCCATAAATTGCCATGCATTACAGGGAGAAAGCTATTCAGCCCTAATTTATTTTTTTATATTTCAAAAACACTAGAAAACTGTAGCAAATACTTGTAAATAAGGTTTTCAGAGAAACTTGTTATTTATGAAAAAAATAATTTTCCAATGGACTTTTTTATTTGACAAATTAAGCAATAGTTCTAGTCATATTTTAGAATGCTGGATTTCTTCTGGCAGTAATTCACAAACATCTATATAGACATAAATAAATTTGTGTGTGTGCCTTGTCATGTTAATTATCATACTCGAATAGTAGATTAATATTTTAATTTCTAAAACATTTATAAATATTGAATAAGTTTTAATTTTAAAACTGTTTTTCTTACAATTGTACTTTAGGAATCATACAAATGAGTAAAAGTATTATAAACATACTTCTTAATGTCAAGTGTAGCATCAAACTTTGCTAACTATAACCACTTTTTAGCACATTATGCTTCTCTCTCTCCCTCTCTCTCTCTCTCTCATGTCTTCCAAAATAATTCAATAACACTTTCTTTAAAAAAAATATCTATTTATCTTATACATGGCAGACTTTCCTTCACATAAGAAGATGACTATAATTTACCTACTTGAATACTCTGGAAAAAAAAAGTCAAAAAAAAATTCAAACATGAAATATACTCAAAAAGAATATTAAAATCTTTAAAGCTCAACTGTCTTAACAATTGCGATGCTTTTGTGATATTTTATGTCTCAAATTGACTTGTAATGTTAAAATATTATATCATTTCCCAGTTGTCTAGAATTATCTCCGAACTCTTCATATCACTGGTACTTTAAATGTACCATGCTTTATAACAGAGGTTAGGGAACTATCATTTATAAGTCATAGTATTATTTATTTTTAAATAATATAATGATGGCCATAATCCAAATGGGTTATGGAATTTCAAAAATTGTAATTAACCAAGCTTTTTAACCATGCTTTATAACAGAGGTTAGGGAACTATCATTAATAAGTCATAGTATTATTTATTTTTAAATAATATAATGATGGCCATAATCCACATGGGTTATGGAATTTCAAAAATTGTAATTAACCAAGCTTTTTAACCATGCTTTATAACAGAGGTTAGGGAACTATCATTTATAAGTCATAGTATTATTTATTTTTAAATAATATAATGATGGCCATAATCCACATGGGTTATGGAATTTCAAAAATTGTAATTAACCAAGCTTTTTAACCATGCTTTATAACAGAGGTTAGGGAACTATCATTTATAAGTCATAGTATTATTTATTTTTAAATAATATAATGATGGCCATAATCCACATGGGTTATGGAATTTCAAAAATTGTAATTAACCAAGCTTTTTAACCATGCTTTATAACAGAGGTTAGGGAACTATCATTTATAAGTCATAGTATTATTTATTTTTAAATAATATAATGATGGCCATAATCCACATGGGTTATGGAATTTCAAAAATTGTAATTAACCAAGCTTTTTTTTATTCTCAGCTTTTTGTTTTTTTAAGTGCAATGTATATGCCTATATATTTTTATAGATGCTTTTTAATCCATGTAGTTGTGTTTTTTAAAACAAAAGTGTAATTAATACTTTTTTTTAAATTTATATTTGCATCATTTAATTTTTTGAAAATAGTTGGTTTTTTTTTAAATCTATAAGGCAAAGAACTGTACATTTATTGCCATATTTATAAATACTGTAAGATTTATTTTCCTATTCTACAGTAAACAAATTCATTAATTAACTTTTTAATTTTTTTTTTGTTGATTCGTGTGTTGTTAGGGACAATGAATACTTGTACAAAGTCTTGATCTGAGAATGGGAAGTGGGAGAAATAACGAGTTCTAAATTTGTACTAGACAGACAGAATGGTTGCCCTTGGTTGGCTACTTAAAACATTTTCAAATTATTCATTTTGGAGTACCATAAGGTATGTTATCATTTTAAAATATTTTTACTGATAGTGTGATGAATTTTGATTAATGGGAATAGCCACTTAGGTGGTGACAAAGTTTCACATTCCTGCCCTAAACTTAAACAATTTATAACCTGAAGTGTAGCTTATACATTATTATAATTTATTGTGACTTTTGTTGCTGTTTATTTGGGTTGCTCGATAAGCCCCTTTTAGTATGCCCAGTAGTTTTCTTTTTTATTTATATATCTTTTTATTCTGTGCTTTTTAAAAGTAGTTTTTAATCACGATTTTGCATTTTAGTTCTTATAAAATTAGTCTTGCTCAAATAAATTGAATGACATTGAATTTTTTAAATGCAATCACTGTGAATTTTGTAACTCTTAGACAAACTTACTGTTTGCTTCTGTTTTAAGTCATTAAATACTTCACAACAGGTTTACCAAAGTCTATCAGTTCATTGTAGAATAGAATATTCACCTTCAACTATCCCTTCAACTATTAGGGCACCACTCAAGATTTGTTGACTGTCTTTCTCCATTCTTCTCTGTCTTTTGCCTTGGATAGAACCTCTTTCAATGGCATGTCAATCTCGTAGAATATATGACAATAAATTAAAGTTCTTTTTTTTATTTCATTGTAAGATATAACAACTTTACATCCCGGCCTACTTATTAGTTGAACTCTGTTCTTTTGATCACATAAAAACAAGAGCTTTATGTATCCTTTTGTTTTTTATGTTGAAACATATCATTTGTTTTGTATGATAAGACATATATATATGCTCTGTGTTATATATAGTTTTTTGTATTAGACTTTTTCTTGGACTTTATTTGTCATAGACATTGTAGACATTTATCTAAGGCTTTTTAAATATATTTAATTTCAGGTTGTTGATATTTTTTTTCATATGTTTTACATTTTCTTTGCAAATATTTCGCCTGTGATATGGTTTACTTGGTACACATTTTCAAATTAATTTAATGTCATTTATTGTTTGCAGCTAACATTCTACAATTGTATTAAATATTGTAGAAATATGCTTAAAAATTTTTTATAAAATACTTGGTTTTTTTTTACTTATTAATTTTTTTCTATTTACCAAGTAAAAACTAGAGCAAATAAAAAATGACATTAGATCAGAAAGTAGTTTGCAATGTAAAGTTTACGTTTTTTGTTATGAATGCATTAAACAATTGGCATCTCCTCAAATGATCATGTGTAAATAAGGAAGGCAGAATCTATATACGAAAGAGTGCACATCACAGCTATAATCACATATTGAAATATAAACATTGAAAACTAGGACATCCGTGGAGAGACTTTACAATAGTAGATTGAGCTATTGGTCTGAAAATAAATAAAATAAAAGATATCTTCTTTTTGTCTGCTACATTTTAATGTACAAATTAACAAAATGGACTTGTACACCTAAACTAACAACAGTCTAAATACAAACGCGAAGACTACATAATATGTATGTATAATATAAGCAAGCATAATAGTTTATTCATAAAATTAAAACTTATATTCCACAAGTGTAACATTTATATTCTTTCGGGTCATGTGGCACACTGTTAGTGGCTACATAAACTGGATTTTCCCTCTGTTTTTCTTTAGTAGATCTTTTCCCTGATGAGAGTTATAGAACTTAGTTATTGCTTCAATCACACTCTCATCGTCTGTTAATTCTGCCATCGGCAATAATCTATACCTTATAGGTAATTCTTTAGGGCTTCTTTTGTGTGTTCTATTTTTGAAGCATAGTTATGTAGCGTTCGTCTTAAGTGAACCAGATGTTCGTGAAAGTCATTTTCAATGGGGTTTATTTGATGCCACACCTGCACCATTCTTTATTCGTTTATTTCTTTGGTTTCAGTTTTACCATCTGGAGAAGACAAAGGACCTTCTTGTACTAAAATTTGTCCTAATTTCAGAGTTAACTTCTGTGACAAAACAGTGACCCATTCATCCTGTTCTTATAGTAGCCTTTGCCTGAAAGAAGTAACCAATGCCATCTTTTCCCGTGATGTTTTATCCAAAATCCTACGGGCTTCTTCATTTTATTCTTATCTTTGATTAATTTAGCTCGTTTTGTGTCTGCTTTATTCACTTTCTTTATAAATATATTTCTGTTTGTCTTATTTATCCAGACCCAATCATTTGGTCTCTTCGACAAGTTCTTTAACTGTTCTAGAGTAAATAACAGAGGTTTGTTCGCTTAAATTTTCTCATGATTAAACTTGTAGCTCACCATTATTGACCATAAAAAAAAATGAACTTCCATTTAACGTATGATGCATACAACTCGGCTCGTTATGACACATTAACTAACAAGGTCAAGGTTTTGACGATAGCCCCCCTTGTGATGTCAGGCACATAAAAACAAACTGATACCTTGGGATGTTTTTAAGAACATTTTGATGGAATTTATTTGTAGAAGAAAAAAAACTTATTGAGATTAAATTGTTTTTTTCATTTGGATGTCACCCCTTTGTGGGTGTCAAACAGTGCGACCCGCACCACCTCCTCTGTTGAACAGTGCACTGGTGCGCACAAGAAGCCTCGAGGCAGAAGCAGAGTTATTACAGTATACATATATTAGTAAAGCATTAGTAAGACGCACGGAGTCAGTTGGCCTGATATTTAGTAATTTGTCGTGTGACTACTGGAATACTTTCATTTTTCTAAGCAGATCATTGGTGTTATTTCTTCTGCTTACTTTTATAATTTTTTAACCTTATTTATGATACACACAGACTCCGCTATAATTTGTGCTACCATATGTGCCACAGTGAATGTGATGGGTGCCAATACCTAGACAATACACCATGGCGCGGCTACTTCCGAGACAAGTGGCCGTAGTGTAGGTCAACTTTGTAAATTCATACTTCTCATTGCCTTCCATTATTCTAAGATTTTCAATCCACTCTCCGATACTGACCTGCTTGAAACAACCGTGGGGGTGGGACACAATGAAATTAAACTTGTCATCAGTTCTCTGGCTGGACCTATATTTCTCCAGCAGTTTCTCACTGAGGTCAGCGCTGCGACGTACAAGCTGGACGAGCTTGTCCTCCAGTTGCTGGTCATGTGTGGCGAACTTTAACACGCAGACGTCTCTATCCATATTGACGTAATCAATTCTAGCGTTCTCGAGTATAACCGGAAGACAGTCTTCCTCGTCAAAGAACAGTCTGCACGAGGTGTGCTTAGCTTCCAGCTCATCAAAGACAACATGGGCTGCTGTGTGCACGGTGATTTCCCACCATTCCGTTTTCTTGGTGCAAAGCTTCTGGCACTGTTCGTTCCGTTTTATGTTGACTAATGATTCCTACATTTCATAACTGTTTTAGACATTTTGCACATAATGAATTGGGGGGGGGGGGGGGGGGGGGTGACATGGCTTTAAAATATCGTGCATATATATATATATATATATATATATATATATATATATATATACATAAGTGTTATGCCATGTAATATTTATTGATTTCATTTGTTTTAAAGCTTTTTATTTAGAGAAATCAAAACTCAAGATTTAATCCTAAATTCAATTATCATTCAGTCAGGGAACTAAATCTAGAAAGGATTTGAAAAGAGGGCTTCTAGATGTGTAATAAAAAGTCGTTACTATAATAACAATTTAGTATCGTGTAAGTATTTGAAATTGAATACGACTTCATCATTTTATTTTGTAATTTATTTACAGTGCAGTAAGTGGTTCTTAATTCAATAGTACTCCAACGAAATTCATTTTGCAAATTTAGTTTCTACTACGGGGCTACAATAGAGTCTAAGTGATAAATATGCTCGTCAATTTCTATAAACTCCATCCGGCAATGTAAAGGCAATGCAATTTATTTTTTAATACGTTATATAAAGAGCTAAAACAAGGCCTAATAACTAGCTTTAGCCAGAAAAAAATAAAATACTTCTGACGTCGAACCTTAGATTAAACGTGATTGAATGGAACAAACAGACATTTCATATTAAATTTGAGAAATTGGCATGACAAATAAACCGAATCTCGTAGATCTGCACACCGCTTTCTCAATGGTTAAACATAGGTGTTAATATATGTATTATATAGAATAAACCACTTATTATTTGGGAGCAACAATTGAAAAGAATGGTAGGACATATGTCAATGATGGTGATGTGGAAAGAATGTTAGGGCATATGTCAATGATGGTGATTGTCAGGGTGGGATTTCAGATTAGCTAGGGTATGACATTACGGTCCCGTATCCCCAGCCTGCACAGAGTAACACAAGAACCTAAAGGTAATAGTATGTAAAATACAAACATTGGATAACAGTTATTCAACTGAACATTTAGCGAATAACAACAGTTGTCAACAGGAACAATATTTAATTATATGCAATTGTAATTTTCAAACATATTTACATGTACATCAATATCATTGAAGTTAGCATTTGATTAATAGTTAGTCTAGTATCACACCAACAAGTTTCCGTAACACACCTTCACGCTCACACTCCATCTCGGCGCCCAACAGAACTTCAACACCGATAGTTACTACACAACTCCAAGGGCAGAAAGACGACCCACTTTCCATAACCCAAAGCCTAACACCCCTTACAAGGGGAACCCAAAAAACCAGCTACCCAGCTCACAAAAGCAGCTCTCTCTCTCTTGCGGAAACTAAGGATGACGTAAACACACACACACACACAATATTCTAGACAACAAAACGCACTAAACAGAAACTACTTCCTATACGCTAAAACACCAATATTAAATGCAAAGAAAACTTCACGCGCGCACGACAGTGATGTGGAAAGAATGTTAGGGCATATGCCAATGATGGTGATGTGGAACAAATGTTAGGGCATATGTCAATGATGGTGATGTGGAAAAAATGTTAGGGCATATGTCAATGATGGTGATGTGGAAAAAAAATGTTAGGGCATATGTCAATAATGGTGATGTGTAAAAAATGTTAGGGCATATGTCAATAATGGTGATGTGGAAAGAATGTTAGGGCATATGTCAATGATGGTGATGTGGAAAGAATGGTAGGGCATATGCCAATGATGGTGATGTGGAACTAATGTTAGGGCATATGTCAATGATGGTGATGTGGAAAAAATGTTAGGGCATATGTCAATGATGGTGATGTGGAAAAAATGTTAGGGCATATGTCAATAATGGTGATGTGGAAAGAATGTTAGGGCATATGTCAATGATGGTGATGTGGACACAAATGGTTCTCAGTGGATGTGTGAACTTTTCTAATGAATGGTTCCTAAGTATAAAAACAAATCATAAGTGAAAATATTACCATGGGGAATGCTTGAATCAGACTTTTCTTGCAGTTTTTAATCTTTATTTAACTGTTTTGTTGTTTTGAAAACACAATAAGTTTATTAGGCCGAGAGATTTATATTTCATGAAGTTACCCCATAGTAACAAAATAGATTTAGTCGTATCAATTACATTATATGTAGAAAACAGAGGCGTGTCGATAATGAATGGATGAAGACTTATTTAATGCATTGGGCCCCACTCCGAGAGGGGCATCAAAATGATCTCCAAGACAATGACGAAGAAGGCGCAAGTAACGTGTGTTTAGGGAGGCGTCACTAGTGAAAATTTGAGAAACACTAGCTTAAGCTTTAACATTGTTTTTCTTTAAATGTTGAACATAAAAAGGCATGAGATAAATTTTGTTGCTCATTTAAAACAGGAACTACGAATTGAAAAGCTGGTATTTTTCAAGTGTTTACAGTAAATTGCATAATGACCGC